GACAGGAGCTCCACAAGGGCCAAATGTATCTGGGCCCAGGGGTCTTTTCTGAGACTGTTTCTCCAACCAAGGAACATACATGGATATAACCTAGAATCTCTGCTCAGACATAGCCCATGGCAGCTCAGTATCCAAGTGGGTGCCCTTGTAAGGGTGACTGAGAATGTTTCTGACATGAACTTAGTCATGGCTGGCTCTTTGACCACCCCCCCCTCCCCCAGGAAGGAGCAGCTTTGATAGGCTACAGAGGAAGACATTGCAGCCAGTCCTGATGAAACCTGATAAGCTGGAGTTCAAAGGAAGAGGAGGAGGACCTCCCTTATCAGTGGAGTTAGAGAGGGCCATGGAGGAGATAAGGGATGGAGGGTGGGATTGGGAGGGAATGAAGAAGGGGGCTACAGCTGGGATACAAAGTAAATAAACTGTAATGAATATAAAAAAATAAAAATTCAATGAAAAAATAGTATGTGAACTGTTTATTTTAATTATGAAGACATTCACTGAGATTTTCATATGTCAATCTATTAATAATAGCACTAAAATTTTCAGTTCTCAGTTCCAACAATTATTAAAACCATGAATTCTGCCTTAACTAGAAAAACAATTATTGTCTTTCTTCTCTACCTATTGTGACACAGGCAAAGAAGTAGTATAGACTGATTCTTATATGCTTATCTGGAAAGTGTATACAATATTTTAATGAAGTTTTTTCTGATAATTATAGAATTTGGTAGCAAATCTTCATATGATTTCAGTGATGAGATTTTTAAAACAGTCAAAAATTAATGCTTATTTGGGGCGAGCATTGGCAGAATAATATCTAATAGAAAGGACCAAGAAGGCCTTGAACATTCTTACATGAAATCACTTCACTTTAAAAAGAAAGAAGCTGGGCTGGAGAGATGGCTCAGAGGTTAAGAGCACTGCTTATTCTTTCAGAGGTCCTGAGTTCAATTCCCAGCCCCCGCATGGGGGCTCACAACCCTCTATGAGATCTGGCGCCCTCTTCTGGTATATATGTAATAAATAAACAAAATAAATCTAAAAAAACAAACAAACAAACAAACAAAAAACAGGTCTCACTAAAAAGAAAGAAGCCATGCATAAAAATCAGCATACAAGTTAGGGCATAGTTCTATAACAAATTGAAACAAGTAACAAGTATAAATGAAACCTGTTAAGAAGTTTTCTTACAGACTATTTGATACACATTTGTTTGTCAAGAATACTAACCAATCCTTAAATAAATTGTATGAGTTAGCTTACCAATTATGTACTTCCAAATGGCATGAGATTTGTTTTAAAAAGAACTATTTAAATAAAGAAAATACCACAGATGGGATACAATAATCTTTTATTTATTTCTGCATCAGTTATAACTTGAAGAAATGACACTTTATATTTATCATGTGAAGTTTATCAAGACTACTAAGGCAGTATGAAAAGAAGCAGTCCAATGTTTGAAAGATACCTCAGAATTAAAAGGGTTTTCCTTTGTCACTAGAAAAATGTATGTTTTATACATAGCAATAACTCTACTCTGAAAATTTATAAAAGGCAGCCACAGAAATATATTGTCATATACAGTGGAGGTTTAAATAAATACAAAAATAAAAACTTTAATGGGTTAGAAAAGCTTTTATGTACTAATAAAACATAATTCTACAATTAAGAAGAAAAATTATACAGAGTTTTAATTTAGGTATTTAAAAGATATAGTGTGTCTATTACTTCAAACCCAACATTATGAAATATTTTTCTTATATATTCACAATGCTTAGAAGTTATAACATTGCCATTAAATTAAAAGGCATTTGAGTTATTTTAAGTCAGAAACTCTGTTAATTGAAAAAAAAAAGAATGCTTTTCAAGATTTGAATTTTATACAATGTGTGTATGTGCTGAAATACTACATAGTATCACCTGATAACGAATACTTTTTTTATTAACTAGAAATGATGTCACATTGATAAAATTCATAACAATGTAAAGATCTACTATTTACTCCCTAACTTTATAGGTAGAATTTCCACTGATATTTTAAAGCTTATGAATGTGCAAGCATACTTAAAAATTGCACAAGTAAATATAATGTAAAAAAAAAATCACTGAAGATGTTAAAAACCCTTGACTATTTAGCAGTTCAATTTACAAATAGAACAAGAGTCTAAGAAGCTGGTTATTACCAAGTTAGAAAGGCAGGTAATAAAGCAGTAAGATCAAACTGTAGTGGGTGAGTGGAGTTAGAAGATCACAAACATATATTACAGCCTTATGCATAAGAGAAGCTCAAGAGAAGTACATCTAGAATATTCGTAGGTCCAGACATAAGGGATTAGAACTGCCTAGAGGCAACACAATTGTGTGAAAGAAAAGAACACTTTAACATGGTTAAAGTAGGTAGTTGTTGGGAGTGGTAGCACAAGCCTTACTCCCAGCACTCTATAGACAAGAGTTTTAAGAAGGGCATGCCAGGACTGTCAGGGCTACAAGAGAAACCCGGTCTCCAAAAACAAAACAAAACAAGCAAGAACAACAAAGAAAGCAGGTAACATTTCAATGCACAGTATGAGGAGAGGGAAATGGTCCTCCTGAGCAGAAGGATGCAAAGCATGTCCTAAGAACCTAGTTTTTGGAAAAATAAGCATCATAAACTATAGCTTGCTTCTTCTCGCTGCATATGGCCATTTCCTGATTAATCTACCAGGCTACTTAAGGGCTTGTAATTCACTAAGTCTCTAAAGATAATTAAAGCATTAACCCTTCAAGTTCTGTATTTATAAGCTTAATCATAATTTTAGCAATAAATAGTGTAGCATCCATGAGATCACTCATTATTTCTATTTGTAAAAATATGTTCATATTTAACTATGTTAGAGCCTCACCATAGGAAGTAATTGCCATGTGATTTAGTGTAATGAACAAGGGCAAAAATATATTTTAAAAATTAAGGAAAAGTGTAAGATCTGCAATGAGTTTAGAAAGTCTGCATTCTAACAGAAGTTTTCAACAACCTTTACAGTAAAATGCAGAATTACACCTTAGACACCATCATTCTAAGTAACTGTGTGAAAACAGAAGTTAGTTCAGTGTTCCAGAAACTGAAACTCTGTGACTGACTCTCATCACAACTGTTTATAAAGTTAATGTGGTCAAGTTGGGTAATGAGATACACAACACTTGTTTTCTTACCAAACATATAATCCAAAGAGACAGCTTTCATTAAAAAAAAGTAAAAATGGCTTATCATTTATAATAACTTTCTGAATTTAATCTATTAGTAACAATGAATATGTCAACAATTTAGCACGTGTTTTAGTTATCTAACGGTGTCCCTTTTACAAATAGCTATTCCACTCTTTTTTTAGAAATAATTTATGTGAACCTTATTACTTACTATTTATTCTAGTACTGCCATGGAATGGAAATACTTATTTTATGGCCTGAAAATATTGTGGTTTTAAAATATGGTAACCTGGGTATTTTCCAGATATGAAACTCTATGGAAATATAAATATCTTCCCAAAGATAAATGAAGCAGGTAAAGGTAGCAGGAAGAAAGAACAGCTGGAAAGAGCAATTAAAGACATTTAGTCCAAAAAAAAAAAAAACAAACCATGGCCAAATATCTATAATATGTTATAGATATATTAACATATATAATCTAATATAAATAGTGTTCTTTTTCCTTTGTTGTTCATTTTAGATGCTGGTGCTTAATTTCCATGTGTCATTATTTAAGAAGAAATTTTTTTGCTCTTGTTTATTTCTGAGATGAGTGGGGAACATTTTGCTTTCTTACATAACTAAATGCGCAATAACAAGCCCCTCAAAAGTAAAAGTTTTATCTTCAAAGCAAAAAAAGAAAGAAAGAAAATAAAAAAATACCTGGTAAAATCTTGTCATGTCTTAAAACCTTTCAAACTTTAAAAGAGAGAGCTGTTAAAAGTTGTACAACTTTGTATCAAAGAGACACATTCTAGGAACGATATCTAATGTCTACCTACTATAAATACACCAACAAATTTTTACTTTATGTGTCCTGACATGTGTAAAATGTGCCAATTAAAGAAAATTAAAGTACACCAATATTCAGTAAATAGCAAAATGATAAATTTAATTTTTGGCTGTGATGGCATCCCACCTTTACTGAAAGAAGGGAGAAAGAGAAGGTGGGTGAAGAAAGAAAAGAAAAAGTAAGCAAGAGGACAGAAGAGAGAGTAAATGTCTATCAAAACCAAAGAAAATAGCATCATTATTGACAGGGATGACAGAATCCAAATAATGAATTCAATTTCTTGAATTTCCCTTGTGCTTTGGACAACTTAAACATACTGAGCTGTTGCAAGCACCCAGAAATTTCTCTGACAGACGGGTTACAGTATATCAGAATAAACTTTCAGTTCTACTCTGTGTGTTCCCAGAGAAGAGAAAACTGATATATCCACACAAAGGACCATAAACTCCACTTCAACTTACACAGTTAAGGCATGAATAAAATTACAGTTGCTTTCTTCTCTAGCCTACACTACTCCTTCCAAAATAATGAACCTTCACGTAGCATTGACTTAATCAGAGAACCTAAGGAGCAAATAGTAAGAGCTTATCCATATTTCGCGATCATGTTAGACCTACTAAGAAAGAAAAAAAAGCTGATTGTGTGTAACACTTGACTTTGCTTCATCTGCACCCAAGCTGATCGACGGTCAGAAATTACACATGTCCCAACAGCTTCCTTTCCCTTAGACTTAAACAGACAGAGGTCAGGAAGAGACACAGACAGTATATTTTACAGCTTAACTATTGAAAACACAAGATTTGAGTTAATTCATATTTGACATATATATGTATATGTCAGGATCGGACCTGCACTTCACAGACTTAACACATTCTAACGATAAAATATTGTCAAAAATTAGAAACTCATGTTCATTTTTACTTTCTCATGCTTGCTGTATGAAAGTTTGATGAACAAAGTTGAGAACTGTTCATATCATTCATGTCTCGTTAAAGCTGTGGAAGAATTATCAATCAATTCCCATTAGAAGGTTTGGGTGCTGCGAAACCATAAGCTAATACTTAATACATTCCTAATACACAGATTTTTTGCTTGAACCTATAATAAAGCCAAACTGGAAATACTATATGAAAACAAGTAATGGTGTTAGAGATGTCCACTAGCTTTTATTAACTACCCAATACTTTAGCACTGTTTACACTTTCACAGAGTTATAAATGGAGGAGAGTTCCTTGTGAAATCACACCAAACATCATTGATGCTTAGAAGGAATCCGCGTGAGTTAAGTTGACAAGAGCAGTACATCGCCCATAGTCGTTTCAGAGTCCTGACTGTGGTTGGAACTGATGCCAGTGTCTGAATCTGTGTCATTTGGGTATGTGTTGGACACCCTTTGAGTTAATGGAGGGATCTCCCCATTGCTGCTGGGAGCCTCACTTTCCTGTCCTCCGTTTTCTTTTAACTGGCATCCATCTTTGTGGCTAACGTGAAGGGAACTGAACTCCTTCGCTAGGAGTTGGTATTCCCTTTCTTTCATCTGAAGCAATGAGTCACTGTATTTAATCTCTTTCTGGATGCCACTCAAGTGAGAGTGGATTTTCAAACCAGCTTTCATACTTTTCTCCAAATCGCACTTTATGCTTTCTAAATCGGAGTTTTCCAACTCACACGCTGTTGCCCCCTCTGGGTCTTCAATTCCGTCAATGCCCATGCTCTTCACCTCTCTCTCAATCTCAGCAGACAGCTTATCAATGAGGACTCTGTAGTACTGTAGCCGTTCCTCTAGGTGTGCCACCCCCTCACTGTCGTTCAGGTCCTCTAGAGTCTCGTTGTCCTCAGACTGAAAGTCCAGCTTTTGCTCATTTTCACTGAACCTGGGCATTAAGTATGCCTCCTGAACGTAATTGTCCCCATCATTCCCGAGCCGGTCCAAGTGGATCTTAGCTTCACATTTTTCGATTTCCATATCTAACTCTTTCATTCGTTTCACTTGCTGGTGAATAGTGTGGTCCTGAGAAATAATCAGATGAACTAAACTCTCCATATTGTCTCGATCATGAGAAACTGTGTCCTGCTTAATTTTAGCCAGTTTCCGGAAGGTTTTCTTGACTATTCGTTTTTGCTTATCCGGTGGTAAAGTTTTCATGTAATTTGCTGGGCTGAGCTCCCAAGGCTTTTCACTATTTTGCACTGGTTTGGTTTCAGCTGTCCGCCACAGAGGAACCGGGAGAAAGGCATCTGTTTTAACCAAAACAAACTGCATATTGGGCTGCTCATCTCCCCAGGCCTTCCACAGCTTCAGAATCCTCGTTAGCGGAGGAAGGGCCCGCTCTGAGCCCCTCCACTTTTCAACGATGCAGTAGTCGCTGGCCTTGCCCAAAAGAAATCGCTTCTCTCCAAATGTAGCCTCATGCTCCTCCAGCAAAGCCTGGATGACATCGGTGGAAGTGGTGCGTTTAGTTAATCCACAGACAATCTTCTCATCCTGGCAAACCCAAACCACAATTTCCTTCTCTTCAGAATCCATGTCCTTAGTTGGAGATCTAAAAGGAAAACAAAGGGTGTTATATTTCTGTCATCACCTGCGTAAACTCAGAAAGACGGTTTAGCATTAATGCCTTTTCTTGCCTCTACTCTGAATGAGAGTCATGCTTTTAGGTTCTGACTGCAGAAGAACAGGAAGATATACTCGGGGATCTGAATGTAAAACTTTTGGATTTCTGTTCAGTTTTCTTTTTTGGCTGATTATAGAAAGGGCAAATTGTCAGTGAAAAAAAATCGAAATGCTTTTCATTTAATAATTTAAAGTTAGTCTTGATACACTGATGATAATCACTGAGAGGACAGCAAAGAAGATCAAAGGTGAGCCCTTTTCCTTTTTCCTGGAGTTTTTTTTTTTTTTTTTTCGATGCAAAAACAAGAGGTTTTATTGCTATCGCCATAGGGTCGCCCCTCCAAAGACAGGAGACTACCCAGAACATGCAAAGCACAGGGTTTTTATACCTGAAAATCAGATCACTTTTACTCTATAGTTTATAGCTGGTTGTAGATAGTTTACAGCTGGTTGTTTCTCAGAACAGTTCACCCAGCCCTTCAAGAGCTCTCTGCACCTGGCTTCAATTCAAAGAAAAAAAAATGGAAATAGAGGTAGGAGTGATCAGATTAAGTATTATAGTCACAGAGTTAAAAATACTTGCCTCTATGGTTCTATATTTAAAACATTCATTCTTTCATTGAACAGGTGTTTTTGCTACATTGACTCTGTGCCAAGCATGTCTGACATTACTGCCCATCAGTAACACAGGAGTATGTAACAACAACAAAAGTATCATGATCAGTTTTAGCACTGCTGTGACAAAATCTCTGACATGGACTACTCAAAGGAGGAAGGACTTATCCACAACCTCAGAAGGTTCATTCTGATACCCAGAGCCATGTGTTTGGGAAGAACATCATGATAGGGTAGGAGACATATGGAATAGGGAGCATGGTACACAGGAAGTACAAAGACAGCTTATGACATGGTCAACAAGAAACAAACAAGACTGAGAGAAAGGAATCATGGCGCTTTGTGACTCTATGTGACCTTAATCACTTCCTTGAGGTTACAGAACACCATAGTTACATAAAGTTTCTATCTCCATATTATTGTTAGTATATGGCAGGCTTAAGTCCCTGCATATTTTGTCAAGTCACAAATATAGAAAGAGGCATGGAGGGATTTTCAAGTTTGTGCATTAAATGTTTTACATGTGGATTAAATAAAAACAAAATGTGCTACTGTTATTTAACTTTATGGTGAGAGAGGTGGGCGCACAGTATTCGCTGAAATTTGCTCAGTTCCTCTACAAGGACTGCTCTCATTTGCAGCTGTGTGTTAACTTCTGCGATGCTTTTAAAGAATCCATCGTGTCTCTAAGCTGATACAGTAGTGAAGTTTTCTGGCTGCCTTGAGCAACTGCATTAGCTGATAAAACATGTATATTAAAAACAACAATAATAAAACAAACACAAACCCCAAGCCATTTCCTCCTCTGTTCTCTCGTTGGAAACCATTAGTTGTGATATTCAGCAATGGTTGCCATTTGACCTGTGAGTTCTTCAGCCCTGTATTAGTGGTTTGAATGATACTGGAATGCAGGAAGCAAAACATCCATTTTGTGAAGAGTCATAGTGATGTCTTTCCACCCGTTCCCAGAACTACTATACCAACTGAGATGTTTTCTGCTTTGAAAGGATCAAGTTTTCATACACTAGTTTTCCCTACCCCAAAGACTGCAAATTTTTAGCTTTTGTCAACAAGCTACAATAATGTTGTGGACAATAAAGAAAAAAATATTTATTTTATATTATATGCACTGTAAAGTGGGCTTATAGTAATCCTACAATCTCACTGTTTGTGCTTTGTTTTATCAGAGCTGAAGACTGAACCCAGGGCCTTGCAATTGGTAGGCAAGCGCTCTACCACTGAGCTAAATACCCAACCCTGTTTGTGGCCTTTTTTCAAATATCCAACCAATGTTTACATATTTTATTTTCTTTTAATTTTATTTTTTCTTCACAATTTATTCATTATATATCCCGATTGAAACCTCCTCCCTAAATTTCCTCCAGTCCCACCTTCCCTCCTTCTTCCCCTATCCCCTTCCCCCAGTCCACTGAATGGGAGAGTTCTCCACCACTGCCATCTGCCCATAGCTTGTTAGGTCTCATCAAGACTACCTGTATGCTTTTCCTCCATGGCCTGGCAAAGCTGCATTATCAGCGATGAATGATCAAAGAGCAGGCAACCGAGTTCATGATACAGGCAGCCCCTGCTCCCCTCACTCAGAGATTGACATGGAGGCTGTGCTGCCAAATGCCCACATCTGTCCTGTTGATGTATTTTCTATGTGTGGCTGTTACTAAACATTTGGGATTTTTTTTTACAGCCGTTATTCAAACAAAGTAATGGTTAAAACTTCTGCTACTTGACTTAACACATTTAAATATAATGACCACTCAATACTGATTTTAGGCAGTAAATCTTTAATAACTTGGATGTGTTTTATCATTTCTAAAATGTATTTTGTAGTTGGCTTAGAATTTTCAAAACTAGTTATTTCTTGATACTACTCTGACTGAATTTCTATTCAACCACTAAACAAATGTTTCCTAATCACTTCTATGGGGACTGTACATTATACAAAGGCAGGCATGATTTACAAGACTGTCTCTTGCACAATATGGGAACAGAGTAAAAAAAAAAAAAAGTCCCCATACATTAATCCAATCAGAAATCTTAAAGGTTCTTTTAAAAAGTAATTGTATCATTTGAGCATTGCAAAATGTAGTCATCTGCTATGGATGAACATTTTAACACTAAAACTTTAGAGAGAAGGGCTTGTTTCTTCATCTCTAGTTTATGCTGCAGTTCTGACCTAGCCTGTCGATTTTTTGAAGTATGCTATGTAAATAAAGTCATGCTATCTACAAATATATACATAATAAAAGGCGAAAAATACAGACTTAATGTGCTAACTTGGTTTGTGATACAATGTAATTAATTAGTGCTTATCTAATGAATGCAGTTGTAATGGTTGAGATCTGTGACTAATGTAGCAGGGCCTTGTTACCTGAAAATAAAAACATTTAGATACAAAGTACATCTAGGAGTATAGTTTTGTTTGGGGTTTTGGTGTGTCCCAAAACACACAGTGTGGTCATCAAACTCTATTGCTGTGTCAGAACGCCTGAGAAAACAACTTAAGAGGGAAAGAATTTTCTTTGGCTCATGGTTTGAAAATGACAATCCACGGTCAGGTGGCTCAGTCTTGTCTTGGAACTCGGGTGGTAAGTTATGGTGCAGAGGGTTCAGTGGAACAGAAAGGCTCACTGTATGGGATCAAGAACCAGAGAACAACTGGAAAGATCCAGGGACAAGGTGTAAATATCAAGAACAAGGCCCCAAATGTCCATCTTCTCCTTCTGCTCCTTAGCATCCTATCTAGAAACTCGAAAAGCGGTGCAGTCTGTAGATAAAAGCAGACCTCATGATCCAGTGAACTTTTAATTACTGGAGCCACAAATACATCCACAGTTCATACACAAACTTATAGGCTATAGGCCCACTAAAACTGATTTTAATGTCTTTGATTTGGAAAACCTCATAATCTAATAGTTCATTTCTAGTAGGTATTTGTATCCCAATGGCTTAACAACATTTATAAAGAGATTCAATTTTAATATAATTATATATATATTTAATATTTGGGGTGCAGTTTATAATATCCTTGTTTATTCCATCTTAATAAATTACCTAAACTTCTTCCTAAATGTTGAAAATATTTGTATGTATTTACTATTTACAAATTAGTGGAATTACATAACTGTCAGATATTTTATGGGTTTTGGTAATCACAAAGTTTAGAAATCATGTGTGTTGAACTTATAAATATTCTGTTTATTGATGGGAGAACTGAGACAAGGAATGGTAACTAACTTTACTAACATCATGTATCTAAGAAAGAGGGTGAGTGATCCTCTCAGCTCTCACTTTAGAACAGAGACTACTAATCTATTAATACAAATTACAGTAGCCATTATGAGTACCTGTCCAGAAGCATCTCTGTGCTTGCCAATATATCACATTTCAACACTTCTTTTTAAGTTAATTTTTTTGGAATCCAAACCTTTGTTTTACAGTTCACTTGTTATAATTGACATATGCACTTGATTTAATACTTTTAGATGAAGCAAAAAACAGTATAAGCTTGACAATATATTTTAACATATTATTATATTTGATAATTTTACAAATACAGGTCTCTCATAGAACTATTCTATTTATTGTCTAACTCACTTCTGTCTATTTTATCTTATAGTTGTTTGCTTTAAAATAGGTTAGGTTAATACACAGAAAAAAAATTTAAAAAATCAATTATACATAGGATGTTTCATTTAAATTGGTAAGTAGTTTTTCTTCTATGAAATTCTAATGAAATTAATTCATCAAATTAGTGAAAAAATAAAATGAAAAATCACATAGCCTGAAAAATGATTGAAAACTTTATTCTTAACTATCACTAACAGGCATGTTGAGGTCAAAAATATTTTCTTAATTCTCTGTAATCTTCACTTTAAGGCTATGAGATAAATATGTGACTCAGCTTTGTCACAGTGGTTATCACAAATATCAAATGCACAAATCTCTTAAGATTGTAAAAAGTTACTTGTGTAAGAAGCCATTATGTATAATAAGAGTAAAGTAGACTATCATTTTTATTTAATGAAGAGGAAGATATTTTTATTCAGTAATCATGTTGAACTTACTGCAATGATTCACAATCTTATTCCATACATATTTTAACATGTTGTAATATTTTTCACCTGTCCAAACTAGTCAATTCTTTTCAATGTACACTACTAATATTAAGTAATTCCTTACTTCACAACTTCACAAATTGTATTCTTAAAAATCATAAATTTATTGGATTAAAAATGAGTGAACATGCTTGTGATTGTCTCCTATTTATAATTTGACTGGTTGTACTAATATGCTATA